CCCCGGGCCCCTCCCCGCAGGGGTGGCGATGGGCCTGGGCACTTCCAGAGCAGGGGCCCGGCGGCCCCCCTGGGCACAGCATGCCCCCCCCCCCGCAGGCCGGCGTGGCGCAGCCTCCCCCTCGGAAGGGGGCCCAGGGGCACACAGACAAGCAGGCACAAATCCCAAGAATCGCAGTGTCTCGAATCTGTGCTGGGTGTCCGTCTTCCCCTCCCTCGGGGACCTGCCGACCCGAGCCAGTCCAAAGCTGGATCAAGCGGGCCTTGCAGGATGCTGCAGGATCCCGCAGGATCCTCCACCCAAGCCCAGGTCAGTGATCAGTGCCCCCCTGGCTCTTCGGGATCGTGCAAGGTCTGGCGCTCTGGCTGACCCCCGTTTGCATCCCCCGTCTCTGAGCCCCGATTCCACTTCCCGTATGTTCCATATTTTCTGGAGAGTTGACGATTCTTTGTGTCTATGTGTTTTTTCCCGCCTGACCCTACCATTACCCCTGGATTCCCCGAACAAGCGGTGCCCGGTTACTTCCCAGGAGAGGCCAAAAAGGCCTAGATCGATAAATGCGCCCACGAGGCTTGTAACAAACAAACGCGAGGCCCAAGGACAGGCCGAGGGAGAGCGTCCATTTCGCGGAGCCCAGAGAGAACCAGTAGGAAGTTCGCCGGGTGCACCATTGCCACAACCCCCAGGCACAAAATGTCCACCGGCACGAGCTGAGACCCCAAAGCCTCCGCCATGCCAGACCCTGAGGAGAGCAGCGGCGGTCACGACGCAGCGAGCGGGCGTAGCTCGGCAGGAAGCACCGGGCCGTCCGCAGCAGCGCGGGCACCAATAAATACGTTTCATGGAAATCCAGTAGGATCGCCAGGACGGCTCGCGAGTTCCCCGTCGCCGCGAAGAGCTCCAGCAAAGCTCCAGCAGCCAGTCGCGGCAGGGCCACGCGCCGCCAACCCAGCGCGGGGCCGACAGCCCGCAGCGCCGATCACGCCCAATATGTCTGTGAGCACGGTGCCCTCCGAGCGTCCGCAGAAGGTCCGAGGCACGAGCAGCGGGGGGGCAGTCGGGCATGCGCGGCTGTCTCGCCCGCCACCAGCCGCACGACGGCGCGCCCCTTCCGCGGCCGAAGCGGAGCAGGAGGAGGAGGAGGGGGAGGAGGAGGGGGAGGAGGAGGAGGAGGAGGAGGAGGAGGAGGAGGAGGAGGAGGAGGATGAGAAGGAGGAGGAGGAGGGGAGGAGGAGGAGGAGGAGGAGGAGGAGGAGGAGAAGGAGAAGGAGGAGGGCAAGGGCAAGGCCGAAAGAGCGAGCGCTCCGCCTCGAGTCCTCCCGAGGAGGCGCGTGAGCTCCCCATGCGCGAGTTCTGAGCCACGTGGGCGCCACTTGCAACATCAGCGGGAGGGAACAGAAACCGCGGAAGGAGAATCCGAGTGCAAGCAACGTGCCAAATTGCGAGGCAGGGGGGAGAAAACCATCAAACGCTGCATACACTTATGTTGCTCCCATCGTACTTAAGGACCACATCCCAAAACTGATTTCGAGCACCCGGAGAAGTGTCGAAAGAGTGTCGAAACAGTGTCGAACGAGTCTCCCAGAGCCCGACACGTGAAGACCCTCGAGTTTCGGGACTTTCTTGGTGCTAGAAGTTCTTTCTGGTGCTTCAGGCTAAAGTAGGTTGGAACAGTGCGGATGTCCCGGATCTGCGCTGGACTTCCCTCCCTGGCGAGCGGAGGCGCCGCCAGGAGGGGTGGCCCAGCGCAAATTCAAGAAATCCACGCGGAGCTGGGACAGTTCTAGTTCATGCTTATACAGATTTATCACAGAGTGAGGGGGCCGAACGGTCATTCACTGTCCCTGGGTGCGTGGGGAGTCCCGGGGTGCGGATTGCTGTTGTGGCATTGATTGCTATTTGTGGTCGCCGTCCCACCCGCGACCCACCCGCGACCCGACCCACGACCAACCTGCGACCCACCCTGCGTCCGCCCCCTCACTCTCATCCGCAACTGCGGGGTGCTATATCTTCGAATGAAGAGGTGGGGGCAGGATGGTGGCGACGCCGACGACTGGCGGCGCGCAGACAGGGGGTATGGGGGAGGGGGGAAGGCTTCTTCTTCGAAGGAGGCTGCCTCTTTTAGAAGGCGCCGGCCTCACGTCTACAGACGAAGCCCGAAGCGCCTTGAAAGAAGCAGCCTCCTCCGGAGAAGCCTCCCCCCCTTCCCCCTTAATCACCACCCACCCCCCGTGCCCAGAGATCCGATGTCGTAATTTTTTCGATGCGGGTCTCCCGGGAGTCTCGACCCATTCCCGGGACTGGTTTTTCATCCTGAGTCGTTTCTTGACGGTCTTGGGGCCCAGCGATGGCCCCTCGAGGTCAAAAACTGTGAAAAACCTCCGTCCTGGTTTTTCAATACGTTGGATCTCTGGGTGTGCGCGCGTGCCTGGGACGAGTCCCTAATTACCCCCCTGTGTGCGCGCGTGTCTGGGACGAGTCTTATGTCGGGCGTGTCCCTCTACAGGAGGAATGCGCAAAAATAGTCCGAAAACAGTATGGGGACGATTTTTCGATTTTTGTTTGAAATATTCGTGGGATCTTTTTGTGGTATTTTCAATTTTTCGTCCACAGTCCGCCTGTAGGTGGACATGCCCGAGACCTACTGACCACCTACCAGACCACCCCAACCCAACCCGAAGACCCCGATTTGAACCGAATTTCGGGTGGGGGGGGGACGGGTTCCATGTGATTTTTCAATGTTCCCCGACCCCCCCCCACTGGAAATGGAGGGCAACTTGAGGCCTTCGGGTTGGGTTGGGGTGGTTTGATGGGGTATTTTTGGTGTATTTTTTTTTGGGGGGGGGATATTTTTTGGGGGTACTTTTTTTTCATCCAAAATCCGCCTGTAGGGGGGGGGGGGCATGCCCGAGACCTAAGACGAGCCCCGCGCGACGCCGACGCCGACGGCGGCGGCGCCCGCGGCCGCCGCGGCCAGGGCCGGCCTCGCCGAAGGCCGCCTCGCACAGGCGGCGGACGCCCTCGCACAGGCCGGCGTCCGCGTCGGGGCCTGCCGCGCCCCCGCGCCCCCCGCGCGAGCAGGCGCCCGAGATCGGCGGCGCCCACAGAGCTGCGGCATTCCCAGAAAGGACCACCGGAGCCCCGCACCCCCATCACTCTGCAGCATTCTTCGACCCGGATGGATCCGCGAGGGCCCGCTGGGGCCCGAAACTGGGCGAGAATGCCCGTTGTGGAACAAGTGCAGGTCCCGAGTCTGAGGGCTCCCCCCCCTAACTCGGGGGCGCGCAAACGTGGATCAGCGATCCATGGATCTGGCGCGCGGTCGCCAAATCCATGGATCGGGGGAGGTGCCCTCCCCCAGATGCGGCCCGTGCCGCCTCGCTCGGCGGCGGGAATCAGCGATTTCCCGTGGAAGCGGGACCCGTCGCTAATCCACGCCCCCTTGATCCATGTCTGCGATCGGCTGACCCACGCGAGCAGGCGCACGCGACTATTGTCGGTCGGTTCGTAGGAGTTGCGCAGCGGGGGTTTGTCCATGTTCACCGCCTGGGAACCGACGTTCTGGTGTCCCAGCGGCCGGTGGATTTGGATCTGTTTCGGCCCCTGGGGGCCAGAACATGTCCATATCCACCGCCTGCCGAGGCGGTGGTCATGTATAAATTCCCGCCTCGGAGTGGGGCAGAGACGCGAAGCGGGACGGCGCTGGAAGCAGACTGGGCTTCCTCCCGCCCCCCTGGGGAGGAAGGAAGAGGAAAAAAGCACTCAATGATCGAAATAGGAATGCGCCTAAAGTAGTATATTGGGATCCGGAACAACAAAAAGACATACCTACCTCCAGCGACCAGCGTGTAACAAAAAGTCGAGACGACGCACGCGCCTACACTGGCACCAGGGACTCCCTCTTCCCAGCAGCTACACCGACACAATCGTTCGCTCGTTCGTTTCCACCCCCCCACGCACATGTTCACGTTGCCATGGGGCGGGGCTCCCATTCGCGGGAAAAGACCCACGTTGATCTGCAGAGCGGGCCAGGAGGGGGATGAGGGATGAGGAAGACCAAGAGGAGGACCGGAGGAGGAGGAAGAGGAAGGGAGGAGCACCGAACACGATGCAGGGGCAAAAGCCCTTAATACCCATCCAGTCTGTCGCCACCCCCCTCCCTTCCAGGGCGTGTTTTTTTGCTGTCCAGGATTCGAAGATCTCCATCAGTTCTCGCAGAATTCTCGCCTCGGGCTGCCTTCCAGCATCTGCGCCCCGTCGAGAGCGTACCGTACCAGCGGTGCTCGGATCGTCCCGATCGGTCGCCGGGAGGAGCAACTGTGGCCAGGAAGCCTGACATCCTCGCGCTGCGGACGGAATCACGGCGGAACATTCTTGAGAGTCCTCGACCTCCTGGCCGTCTCCCGTGGCCCAGGGCCGTCCAGAAACGGCTCGGGATGAAGCACCGGTCCCGGGGAAGGGGCCCAGACCGCTGGGAGCCCACGCTCCCATATATCCGACGTTGTTTTTTCCAACACGAGGTTCCCAGGCGTCCGGGCCCACTCCCCAGGGCGGGCTCTTCATCCTGAGTCGTCTTGTTCACGGTCCTGAGGCCCAGCGAGGGCCCCCACAGCCCCAACACGGCGAGAACTTTCCCGGGGGGCGCGCAAACATGGATCAGCGATCCATGGATCTGGCGCGCGGTCGCCAACTCCATGGATCCGGGGAGAGGTGCCCCCCCCAAATGCGGCAAGTGCCGCCTCGTTCGGCGGCGACGATCCGCGATTTCCCATGGAAAGGGGCCCGTCGCTAATCCATGCCCCCTTGACCCATGTCTGCGATCGCCCGAAAAACGTTGGGGGTTGTGGAAAGCCATGGCGTCGGATGTCTGGGCTGGCGGGCCAGGGCCGCGGGCTCACGGCGCCGGGGGTCTGGCCGCAGATGGGAGGGCGCACCCTCTCCCTGCTGCTGCTCCTCCTGCTCCTCCTGCTCCTCCTGCTCCTCCTGCTCCTCCTGCTCCTCCTGCTCCTCCTCCTCCTCCTCCTCCTCCTCCTCCTCCTCCTCCTCGTGCTCCTCCTCGTGCTCTTGCTGCTGCTGCACTTCCCCATCCCTGCCCCCTGCACCTTCCCCCTCCCGTCCTCCCCCTGCTCCTTTCCCTCCCCATCCCCCCCTCCTCCAGTCATTTCTTCTCCTCCTCCTCCTTCTCCTCATCTTCCTCCTCCTCCTCCTACTAATCTTCCTCCTCCTCCTGCTCCTGCTGCTGCTCTTACTCCTCCGTCCCCTGCCTCAATGAAGAAAACAAAAAAAACTGCCGCAGCGGCTCGTGTCTGTCGGTCGTGCGGGGAGCGGGCGTCTGCTCGCTCTTGTGCAGTTTGCGCTGTCATCGCCCCGTCGCGTGAGCCCGTCGCTGAGGCTGACCGCGATGGGGATCCACATTCGACAGGAGGCCATCGGCTACACGCAAGAGTGACCCCAAGCAAGGGTGACCTTTGGTGCGCGGCCCGAGGGGGGGGTGCCCTGGGGGGCCACCCCCAAGCGTGCAGGCCACTGCTGTCGCATCGTATTCAGCGATGGGGGGGGCCCGCTAGGCCCGCACCAAAGGCCACTCTGGCGAAGGGTCACTCTTACGTGCAGTCGAGGCCAGAGTTTGAAGAGGAGAAGCAACCCCGAGATCCGACGTTGCAAAAGAACATGCGACGTCGCGAAAAATCACTATGGGAGCCATGGAACCTAGTCCAGAGTTTGAAGAAGAGAAACAACCCTGAGATCCGACGTTGCAAAAAAACATGCGCCATCGCGACAGATCACCCTAGGAGCCATGGAAGAACCTGTCTCTTCGTGGCATTCCTCGAACCAGACCGACCTGCGACGGTCTCGGGGCCCGCGACCAGGCGAAACTACGCAAAAACGCCTGGCGCGAAAAAAAATGCAACGCCCGCCTTTCAGGGATCGTCCTACTTTGGAGGCTTGGAAGCGGGCACCAACACCAACACAGGGGGGTGCCTCCACCAGGGGAAGATGATCCTAGCTTGTGGTGCTGGTGGCAATCTTCCGGCACACCTAGGAAACCTGCATGTCGCCACCATCACCGAGATCGGCGCCGCCCGCGTCCTGAATATCGCCACCATCACCGAGATGGGGATCATCCTGCCTCGGTGGAGGTCGACGAGCTCGCTCCACTGCTCGCAGAGTAACTGCTTGCAAACGGCCTGGAGATCCCCTGCGGGGGATCTACGATCAACTACACCAAAGCAGGCGCAGGCACTTTGCGAGTAGTGGAACGCGCTCGGCGAGGAGGCACGCCGCCAGATGGTGTTGGTGCGAACCTCTGGGCCTGCGGCCTCCTTCGCGTGCCGTGCGAGGTGCCGCACCCCCGCGCGGCACCTCGCCGGCTGTGCCGGGCGCGTCCGTGCGGCGGCCCGCCGTGCCCACGGCCCCAGGTCCGTCGAGGAGCGCGCTCGCCGCGAAGCGAGCGCCAGCCCTTCCCGCGCGTCGCGGCCCACGCTGTACTTCGTCACACATGAGGGGGCCCTGGGACATACAAGTAAACAGACACAGATGACCAGGTTCCCCCCAATTTTCCCACGCTTTCCGGGTTTTCGTCTTCCCCCCCACTTTCCCATAGTTGTCCATATTTTCCTGGGAGTCGACGATGAACTGTGTCTGTGTGTTTCTGTCCCCTCCTGAACATACGTAATGCCTCTCAAGGTCGAGAATTTTCGTCAACGGGCTGGCGCCAAACTCTAACCCTCGGCTTGCGCCATGAACGTACATCCGGACTCTTCTTTAACGGAGTGCGCAGGAGATGTTGGCTCAAAGAGGTGGCTGGTCATCGTCTGGAGGAGGGACACCGCTTTCCAGCGCTTGGTCATGGCGCAACAAGTGAAGATGCAACTGACGATGGACACGCGACGGCACTCGGAGACGATTGCGAGAAGGAGCAAGAAGGGGAAGGACAGACATTGACGATGGGGGATGATGCGGCTTTTGGGGGGTACCTGAGAGCCTGTAAACCAAGAAATGAGGGTTAGTGTCCATGCCGTACGGGCCCTCACTGAAGTAGCCGTCCGACGCGTAGAACTCCAGGGAGAAGCTGTTGTTGGCCAGCCAGACGGCGACCGACGGCTCCTCCACCAGGAGGCCACCCCAAACGACGAACACCTCCGGCAGTTCCAGGGCCGGGAGGTCGTAGCGAGCAGCCAGGCACGGGTCGGCAGGGCTGCCGGCGCCCCCGTCCGCCACGCCCGCGGCAGCGCCCGGGGGGGCCTCGGGGTGCAGCGCCCGGGGGAAGAGGTCGCGCAGCACTGGCAGGGGGCTCCGGAAGAGCCGGTCGCGGGGGCTGCCCTGTCCGGGGGAGCAGTCCAGGTAGCCCAGAGGCACGTCGCGGTGCAGGTAGGAGTGGAGGGGCGTCGCGTGGCAGGCGGTGAGGAAGAAGGCCCCTCGCGGCCCCGGCGCGCGGGCCCGCAGGTGCCCCAGGACCGCGTCGGCGCCGCGCTGGTGCACGCGGGCGAAGAACGCCATGGCCAGGGCCTGCGGCAGGAACACCAGGGCCAGCACCGCCCATCGCAGGCGTGGCCGTGCGGACAGGCGCTGCACCGCGCGCGCCAGCCCTGTCCCGGCCAGCAGCGACGCCAGCGGCAGGTACGGCAGCAAGAAGCGGTACTCCTTGTGGGAGGCCAGGGACAGCGCTGCGATGGCGGCCGACGCGGCGGCGACGGGGCCGCGAAGCGCGCGGCACTTGCCGAGGCCGCGAGCTGCGAACCAGGCCCCAGCGAGCACGAAGGGCAGGAATGTGCCCAGCGTGACCGCGAGACCCTCTGTCAGGTACCAGTGCCAGGGGTGGGAGCCGTAGAAGATGGCCTGATCCCGCAGCAGGTTGAAGCGAAAGTGGTTCCAGGGTACGAAGGTGAAGGACTCGTACCACACGAAGTCCATCAACGAGGAAGCGGTCAGCACCATGACCGATATGAGCAGCCCTGGCGCCACCAAGGCCGACCACGCCCTCCCAACTCTCGCGGAGAGCGGCGGGCCCGGCCACGTGAGGATCGCCGTCACCTCATGGAGCGCCAGCGCCAGCCAGAACAGGCCAGCGGTGGGCCGCAGCGCGACGCAGAGCGAGCCCAGGAGCAGCGCGGTGCGCCGCGCCGGCGCGCCGCGCCGCAGCCAGCTCTGGAGCGCGAGGGCCATGAGCACTGCCTCCAGCGAGTTGGAGAACGTCCGCGGCATGCAGTAGAAGAGGAACCAGCTGCCCAGCTGCGCGGCCAGCGACCACAGCGCGACCTCCGCCCCGAACGCCTCCTCCGCGGTGCGGTACACCGCGAGGTCCGCGGCCGCCGCCGCGAGCCCCTGCAGCATGCGCGGGCCGTACGCGACGAGCCAGGCGGCGTCCGCGCCGAAGGCGCGCAGCGCCGTGTAGAAGGCGGCGAACAGCGCCGGGTGAAGGACGCCCCGCAGGGCGACGCACCTCGGAGGGCGCCAGCTAGACGCATGCGCTGATCCTGGCCAGGCCAGGCCCATCCTGGGCTTGGGGTCGGGGATCTGCCCTCCGGGCCATGCGAGGATGGCGTACCCACCGATCCTGCGCCCAGCACAGGCCTGGCGCGGATCGGCGAAAGCGCACGGTTGGCCCCCTCCCAGCGCCGCTCCCACTCCCAGGTCAGGTGGCCGTACCCGAAGGCCCAGCGGTGCGCCACCTCCAGCGATTGCCACTGCTCGTCGGGCCCGAAGGACGTGCGCAGCACCAGTGCGCCGACGAGGCGCAGGACGACCAGGAGCAGGGGCAGGCGCATTGCGCCGCCCTCCCCCCTCACCCACCCCTCCCCTCTGCACGGTTCCCTCCGGGGCCGTAGGCAACACGAGGAGGAGGAGGAGGAGGAGGAGGCGGAGGAGAGGAGGAGGAGGAGGAGGAGGAGGAGGAGGAGGAGGAGGAGGAGGAGGAGGAAGGAGGGAGGAGGAGGAGGAGGAGGAGGAGGAGGAGGAGGAGGAGGATAAGGAGGGAGGAGGAGGATAAGGATAAGGAGGAGGAGAGGAGGAGGAGGAGGAGGAGGAGGAGGGAGGAGTAAGGAGGAGGAGGAGGAGGAGGAGGGAGGGAGGAGGGAGATGATGTGATGATGATGATGATGATGATGATGATGATGATGATGATGATGAGATGATGAGGAGGAGGAGGAGGAGGAGGAGGGGAGGAGGAGAGGAGGAGGAGGAGGGAAGGAGGAGGAGGAGGAGGAGGAGGAGGAGGAGGAGGAGGAGGAGGAGGAGAACGGGTCGCCTAAGCCCTTCGGAGAAACCCTCCCCTCCCCTCCCATCCGAGCTTCAACGCATCTTGAGCTCCGACGGCTGCGGACCAGACGGGGGAGGGCGGGCGGGAGGCGCACGGCACCCGAGACGTGGCCTGGGACATCGGCGCCCCTCGCTGCACACGGGGTCCGCCAGGCGCGCTCCGCGCCAGAGGGGCACCTGGAGCCGAGCCGATGCCCTCGGGGAGCGGCAAAGTAAGAGGCTGCATGTTGAGAGGGACCGACCGTCCCGGCATTCCTATAAGCCTACCACGACATGTTGTCAGAACCCAATCATGTTCTAATAACAAAAACAAGGTGCTTATAACATACACCCGATGTGTGTAAAACGAGACTGTCCCAGCCAGAAATGTTCTAAACACATGTCGTGCAAACCACAAACGGTTCTTAGAACATCGTTTGGTCGGCCTATAGGCACGCCAGGACGCTTCGCCACTGCTTGAGCATGACATGGCAAACCAGACGTTTTCTTATCCGGTGTTTCGACATCGGGCGGAGGGGGGGGAGGGGGGGGTCTGGCTCCAGACCTCTGCTTATGCGACGGTTTGCAGCAGTGCGTCCCCTGGGGGAGGGACTCCACCTGCTCGAAGCAGGCGCCCCAAACAGCCAATCTCTACTCCATTGGGGTGGGGAAGGGGGGTGCGAGGGTCCGCGCCGATCGGCAAAACCATGAACAAAAAAACGACCACATGTGGATGGCGGTGGCTACCCTGTTTTTTAACAGCCCGAAGCAGCCCTGCGTAGAAGAAGAACAAACCACATAAACATAAACTTTTGGCGCTCCGCGCGGTGGGGCGCGAAGCGCGCCAGGGGCGGCGCCGGAGGCGCCGCCAGGGGGGCCCAGGCGCGGATCCAAGAAATCCGCGCGGAGCGCCACAAGTTTATGTTCGTGTGGTTGCTGTTCCTCTTCGACCGCGGCAAGCGGCGCGGAGGGAAGAAGGCAGGAGGAGGGGATTTATCCATATCCATCGCCTGGGAACCGACGCCCTGGTGCCCCAGCGGGTGCCCCAGCGGGCGGTGGATATGCACATATGTCGGCCCCCGGGGGCCCGAACATGTCCATATCCACCGCCTGCCGACGGCTCCGGGCACTGACCCTCCAGGCAGTGGACCTGGACAGATTCCCGCCTCGGAGGGACGGCGGGGGGGAAGCAGGGGCGCCAAGCCGCACGCAGGGCGCCCCCCGCAGCGCAGCGGCGGGCCGAAGGCCTCGGCTCCGCGCGCCCCGGCTTCGCGGGGCGGTGGCTGCACGGTTGCACGCGCAGACAGGCGCGTTCCACCACCCACTCGCAGAGTAGCTGCTCGCAAGTGGCCTGGATCCGCCGCGGGTGATCTACGACCAGCTACCTCGAAGCAGACACACGTGTTTTGTCCGGCGCTTGCGAGCCGGCACTTTTGCGAGTAGCGCAGCGCGCTCGGTGAATATATGGAAGGCGACGGCCCGGGGGGCCTCGTGTGGCTGCCGGCCAGCTGGACCCTAGGCGTACTTGTCGATCGACGCGCACAGGTCCGAGCAGAGCGAGCTCGGCGCGGCCGGCCTCTTCGCGAGCCCGGCCGCGCCTCCGCGCAGCAGCACGGCGGCGAGCAGGCCGCAGGGCGCGAAGAGCCACAGCGGGAGCCGGGGCCGCTGCCGCCCGGTGGCCTCGTCCAGGAGCTCCTCGGTGCTGCTCCAGGGCAGCTCCTCGCCGCCCCCGCCGCAGCCGGCCGCCGGGCCAAACTCCGGCTCGAAGGCGCAGGTGTCCTCCTCCACGGTCCTCCGCCTCTCCTCCAGCGACAGCTTGTGGGTCTCCCCCATCCGCTGCAGCCACTCGTCAGGCGTCTGCGGGCTGGTGGTGCCCGCCTCGTGCGGGTAAGGGCACTCGCGCGGGAATGCGTGGTGCATCCACTGGGCGAACAGCCGGCCGTGCAGCGGCACCACTCCGCCGTTGCCAGCGGCGATCTCCGAGAGGCGGCCCAGCAGCGCGGAGGACAGGAACCGCGGCGCCTCGACGGTGTCGGAGGGTAGCGCGGCCACGAGCCGTGCCACCTCCAGCTCCGGAGCCGAGGGCGCGCCGACCTGCTTCTCCAGGTGGCCCAGCAGGTCCTCGCACTCGTTGCGGCAGCAGAGCGCGTAGAGGCCGGAGGCCTCCAGGCAATTGGTGCGCGCCGACAGGTAGTTCGGAAGGATCACCGCGGGCGAGCCCGGCTCGGACTCGTCGAGGGCCCCGACGAAGCGCAGGTACTCGGGGCGCTCGTCGAATTGCCAGTGGCTGTAGAGGCCCTTCCTGTAGAAGGCGGGCAGCCGCACGCGCCCGGCGCGGCCCTCCAGCTCGCCCATGGTGCCCTTGAGGCTGCGGCACTCCAGATCGTTGAGCGTGTGGTAGCGCTCGCCGATCACCTTCGCCATCTGGACGACCTGGTCGAACGAGTAGGCGTCACCACCACCCGAAGCAAAGTGGGGCGCCAGGGTGTCCGTGAGCCACGCCTCGGCCTCCGCCCAGCCGACGTAGTTTTTGGTGAAGCTCTCCAGTTCGCGCCGCGCCTCCTGGGGGCTGCCGGCGGACAGGTCGCCGCCGTCGAGGAACCCGGCGTAGTAGATCGAGATGGTCTCGAGCGCGTCCTCCTTGCTGAGGCTCGCCGAGGTCGCGCGGGCCAGCACGCCGTACGCCCTGGCGACGCGGTCGGAGGTCTCCTTCGCGATCAGGTCCTCGAGCGCCGCGGCCAGGGCGGCCAGCTCACGCAGGCTGGCGCCACCGCGGCCGAGGCTGCGCTGCTCCAGGCGGCTCTGCAGGAACGAGGGCACCCACTCCGACGCGTTCGCCGCGTCGGCGCCCGGCTCGAGGCCCTTGATGTACCACCCGCGCTGCTGCACGAAGAGCCGGTGCAGCGCGTAGCGCACCGCCTGGTGGCCGAGCTCCCCGGCGGCGTCCTTCGGGAGGGCCGCGAAGGTGGGGCGCAGCGCGTCCTGCAGCGCGGCAAGGCGGCCGTCCGGGGCGCCCGCCAGCTCGAGGGCGAGGGAGCCTGCGGCGTCCTGCTCGCTGACGGGGGCGGCCAGGAAGCCGGACGCGGTGGAGCGCACCACCGCGCTCGCGGACAGCGCAAGGAACAACACCATTGAGAACTTCATTGTGACTCACAGACACTGACTGGGGAGCTTTTGAGGCGCAAGGGCCCAGAACGCTGTAATTGCCTTACCAGATAGGGGGTGACCGTTGGCCAGCAAAGAGAGCTGGGTCAAGCAGCTCGAGCCAGAATGGTAATGGCAGGGTAGGCGGGAGCAGGATGATAACAAAAAGGCTGGCGTTGAGGAAAAAGAGGACGAGCATGAGGAACGAGGGATACGAGAAGGAGGGAGCGGAGGCTGAGGAAGGGCGGGGAGCGGACACAAGAAGGGAGAGGAAGACTTCTGGGCAAAACCAGTATTCAGGATGAACGGAGCGTATGCAAAGGATCTGTGGGAGGGCGAGGGAGGTGGCGGAGGAGGCGGAGCTCGAGGCGGAAGACGATGTACAGGAGGAGGGAGGGGGGTGGAGGAGAAGAGGGGGGGAGGAGAAGGAACAGGAGGAGGGCAGAGAGGGAAGCAGAGCATCAGGATGTGGGAGGTTGGGATGAGCGCGAGGGGTAGGAAGACAAGGAACAGACGCGGGAGGAACCAGAGGAGCAAGCAAGCAATCAAGCAAGTAAAGAACTGTCGGACCCGAAGTCTAGCAACGAGACGAGCAACAAGACCGTATCTAAGGGGGAGGCTTTTTGTTTCCCCCCGAGGCTTTTTTTTTCTCCACCCGGGGGGGGTGCGGCTTATTTTTTTCCCCGGCGATTGTTTTTCCCCCCCCCGGGGGGGGGGGGGGCCTTTTGTTTTTTCCCCCCGCGCGACTTTTTTGTTTTTGTTTTTTACCCTGGTAGCTTTTTTTCTTTCTCCTGGGGAAAGGGGGGCGCGTGAGGCAGGGCCCCTTGAAACTTGTTTTTCCCCTCGGGGGGGGGGGCCTGCGGGGCAGGGGTCTCGATCTTTTTCCTCTCCAGGGGGGGGCCAGGAAGGGCGAGCCAGGGAGGCCTGCCCTCGCTTCTGCGAGCCCTCTCTGGCGACCATGTTAGATGCCCCGCTGAGCGGTCTGGACACGTAAAAGCACATGGCTCCAGCTCGGGAATTCCATGTTAGATACCCTCGTGAGTGGCCTGGACACGTGAACACAAGACACGTAAAAACAAGCGTCTTCCTAGAGACATCTTCAAAACATCCTCATGTCAGACATCCGCCTGGAAGACCTGGAAACACGAAAAACAGTGTGATACTCCCTGGGTGGCCTGGACACGTAAACACACGTGGTTCAGCCCGGGGCAACCATGTTAGATATCCCCCTGTGTGGCCTGGACACGTGAAAACGCGTGGTTTGAGCTCGGAGCCGCCATGTTAGATACCCTCCTGTGTGGGACGTGGTTCCAGCTCGGGACCACCATGTTAGATACCCCTTGGGCGGCGTGGACACATGAAAACACTATGTTCCAGCTCGGAACCACCGTGTTGAACCACCGTGTTAGATACCACCCTGGGTGGCCAGGACACGTGAAAACACATGGCTCCAGCTCGGGACTGCCATGCTAGAGGCCTTCCAGGTGTGGCCTGAACACGTGAAACAATCGCGTTCCAGCTAGGGGCAACCATGCGAGATACCCCGCTGGGCGGCCTGACACGTAAAAACACATCTGACTGGTCCACCAAGGGGTCAAACATCATATTAAGGGCCCGCGGAAATATGATGTTACCTTCCTGGGCCTGATGATGATGATGATGATGATGATGATGATGATGATGATGATGATGATGATGATGATGATGATGATGACGGTGGCGCTGATGATGCTAGTGATAACGATGACGATGATCATGGCGATGGTGATGATGTTGATGCCTTGTCCTCGTCCCCATCGTCATCGTCTTCCTTCTCCTCGTTCTGATCATTACCCTCGTCCTCTCTGGCTGCTCACCATTCTCCTTATACTCCCCCTCCTCCCCCCTCCCTCATCCTGCATCATCTAACCCCTCCTCCTCATGCTCCTCCTCCTCCTGCTCGTCCTCTTCCTCGGATGTCCACCCTTATTATCCAACCCCTCCCCCGAGCTGCATCATCCATCCTGCCCCCGCCCTTAGCTCAAAACAAGGAATGACAGCCGAAAAATGAACAGGACCACCCAAACACTTAAACAGTACCATGCAAACATTCACAGGACCGCGAGGAAAAAAAAATCATGATCACAAAGAGACTAAACAGACGAACCGAACATTAAACATAACCAAGCAAAACACGAAATAAGACTACAGAGAAACTAAATAGGACCAGCCCAAACAGCAAACATGACCACGCAAAAACGAAACAAGACCAGACGAACACTAAACAGGACCACAACGACACTAAACAGGATCATCCCAAAAAGTAAACACGACCACAGAAAAACTAAACAGGATCACGGAGAAACTAAATAAACATGACCAGGAGAAAACTAAGCAGGACCACGGAGCAACTAAACAGGACCACCCGAAAGAAGTAAACAGGACCACGCGAAAAACAAACAGGACCAGGAGAAAAGTAAACAGGACCACAGAGAAACTGAACAGGACCACCCCAAAAAGTAAACAGGACCACGCAAACAATAAACATGATCAGGAGAACACTAAACAAGACCACGCAACAAAAACTAGACAGGACCACCCCACAAAGTAAACAGGACCACGCGAAAACTAAACAGGACCAGGACAGAACTAAACATGACCACGACGAAACTGAACGGACCACCCCACAAAAGTAAACAGGACCAGGAGAAAAGTAAACAGGACCACAGAGAAACTAAACAGGACCACCCCAAAAAGCAAACAGGACCACGCAAACAAAGAACAGGATCAGGAGCCAGGAGAAAACGAACACGGACCACAGAAACACTAAACAGGACCACCCCCAAAAGTAAACAGGACCACGCGAAAACTAAACAGGACCCGGGAGAACCTCAACAGGACCACCCCAAAAAGTAAACAGGACCACGCGAAAAGTAAACAAGACCAGGACAAAAGTAAACGGGACCACAGAACAACTAAACGGGACCACCCGACAGAGTAACCAAGAACGCGCCAACAAAATAAACAGGACCATGCAACAAGTAAACAGGACCACGGAACAAATAAACAGGACCACCCCAACAAGTAAACAGGACCACCCCAAAACGTAAAGAGGAACACAAAAAAACAAGAAAAACAACTAAACAGGACCACCCCAAAAATCAAACAGGACCACGCAAAAAGTAAACAGGACCACGCGAAAAAACTAAACAGGACCACGGAGAAACTAAAGAGGACCAGCCCAACAAGTAAACAGGACCTTTCACTGTTGATGATTGTGCTGATGGTGAAGGCACTGGGGATGATGATGATGATGATGATGATGATGGAGGTGATAACGGTACTGGTTGTGATGATGACTGTGGTGACTGTCGATGAGGATGAGGATGGTGAGTGATGATGCCGATGATGTGGATGCTGATGGCGAAGACGATGATATCGGCGATGACGACGGCGTGTTTTTCTCTCCCGCGTTGGCGCAGGCGGCAGGGGCCGCCCAAAACAGCACGCGACCGCGGGGCCACCGCCAGAGGCAGGTTCACCAGCGGGGCCACCGCCAGAGGCAGGTACACCAGGCCACGCCTTCACCATGTCTCCCACGGGAGTCCCCACTGGCCTGTCTCGCGGTGGTGCAGGCGATGGGCGTTTCTCATCAGCATCGCCTCCGGCTTCGCGGATTCGGCGCGCCGCTTCTTCGACGCAGCGATCGGCTGTCGAAAGTGCAGGGCGTGCAGGAAGTGGCAGGGACACAACTGGCACCCGTGCTTAAAAAACTCCGCCAGCGTGACGTGGTTACCACCCCTGATATACCGCGCCTCGCGCTCGCCAGAGGCAGGGCCGCCCTCGTCGGAGACAAACTCACGCTTGAGAACTGTGGTCTCGCCGCCCTCTTCCTGCAGGATCCAACTGATCTCCTCCAGAGGCAGGTTCCCCTCCCACTGGATCTCGCGGCGCCACTGCAACCAGCGACGCACGTCGCTGGTCATCGCGAACTGGTAGTGCCAGAACTGCGCGCAGGTGAGCGCGTCAACGTAGTCATCTGGCACCCGCGTCCACCAGCGAGCTCCCCAGTGCCGCACCTCGTCGTCGTGCTCGTTGAGGATGTGTGTTGGCGTAGTCGTCGTCGGTGGCGATATGCGCGGCGACCTTCGCGGCCTCGAAGGACTCGGCCGTCAGCGCCGCCCACCCGTCGCCGAGCACGGCATCTGGGCATGCCTCGCAGAGGGGCGCGCCAGAGGCAGCGCCGCCACGGCCGCCCCAGACTGCCTCCCGCAGCCGCGCCCTGTACTGCGCCTTCTTGGAGCAAGCGCGCGCGACGCCCCGCAACTGCCCTGCTTTGTCTGGGGCGTCGCTTCGGCGGGCGATGCCTGAGAGAAAGGCTTGCGCGGGAGGGATCGGCTCGCAGTAGAAGTCGAGCGCCTCCCCCATGGCTCGCGCGTTCCTCCCCCAGCGCTGCCGAGCGCGCCAGTTCGCGCCAGCGGCGGCGACGGCGTTTGCCTGCCAGCCCTCCCTATTATCGCAGAAGTGCTGCTACATCCAAATCTTTCTGACGGCTTGGCGAAGTTCGGCCGTCTGCGCATCCGACAACCGAGCAATCCGCGCCTCCGAAAGACAACTCGCCAGGTCCACTTCGTTATCCTCGTCGTCGCGCGCGCCAGAGGCAGCGCCCGCGTCGCGCGGTCTCGCCCGGCTTCTGGAGCGCGGCCTGGCCCGGCGCTCTGCGAAACCCTGCCCCCCCCCCGCTGGCTCGCCGCCAGCTCGTCCTCGACCTCTGGCCCGCGATCCTCGGCGTCGCCCTCCTCGGCCGGACCCCCAGCCGACGGAGCGCGCCCAGCCGCTGCAGCCGGAGGCGCGATCCCACTCGCAGCAGCTGGAGGGGCGATCCCAGCGGCAAGCGGAGCCACCTCAGGCGAATGGGCGACCCAAATGGCAATGGAAATCCCGGCCGCAGGGGCAGCCGGCAGAGCGTGCGAAGGCGCTGGCCCAGCGGCTGGCTGGAACCACGCGGCAGGGGCAGTGGGCCCCAGAGGGGGCTGCGGTGGCAAGCGCGCCACTGAGGGGGGGTCGATTTGCGGCGGCGGCGGAAGTAGCGCTTTGCCTGGCGGTTCGGGCGCGAGCGGCGGCGGCGGGGCATCGGGCG